GACACGCCACACCCGCAGGAATCACCCGAGCGCCTGCTACAATCATCTGCCCGCCCAGCGTTGTGAGGTCTGTTCTCACCGCCACCACAGCAGAACAGTCGCATAACGACGAACCTACGCATGCTGCGCCGTCCCAATAATCAGAACAGTGAAACTTACAGCAAAGAGCATGCCACCTCCACCACAGTCACAACTACGACCGAAGAAGAAATCGCTGCACCATCATCAAGGAAGACCTCAAAAACGACGCAGCAACAGCAGCTGAATTCGAAGTAGAACTGCTCGCTGCTGCGCACGCAGGCGAACACCTGAACGGAGGAAAGTCTACGTGCTTGCCCAGCGGTGACACAGCACATTCAGAACTGCTGTCAAGCTCGGTACAATCAGGGTCATTAGGAGATCAATATCTTTCAGAAAAGATCACACCCTGTCAGGATCTGAAAGCTGGCCTTCTTTCACCACGGAACGCTTTGCGATCCTGAGGTCGACAGCGAACAAAATCAGAAGAATGTGTAGAGTCCGATGTCGCTTGTCGTCAGACACTTCTAGCGGCAGTGCCGAGGACTTCCGTAGACTGATCTGAGCGAGCGTCGGAAGCAACCGATGCGTTCTGCGGCGAACTTTCAATGAGACTACCAACTCAGGAAAAACAGTGCCACGAAACTTTATTGAATGTGTTAACACACACACTCTCTGTCTGTGGCGTCGGCAAACCTTTGCACCTGATCTTCCCTCCGCTCTCTCAGAGCAACCCCTGAGCATCACTTTTTTTTATCCCAATCAACGAGCTGATTGACTAGTTGATTCTTCTCCAAAAGCTGCTTGGGAAACTGATTTTGCAGAAGAAAAGAAGCAAGAAAAAATGGAAAACAAGCTTCGAAACCAATGAGCGAAATTCTACCAAAATCCGCACGCCCCCTTGTAATTGAAATGGGGCATCGCAAGCACCTATCCGAGAACACCCGCGCCAAATAGCCCCGTGGCATATGAACAAGTACAAGTGTGATCCTGACGCTGGCACGCACGCGAGCTGCCGTTCCTGACGCAGGAGCCAGTGAAGGGTTGCTGCTGCAACGCAGTTGTGGGCAGGGAACATCCACAACGCCAGCGCAGCCACGTGAGGCATGCTCAGAGCCGCGCCATAGCCCGGCCACCCCCACATGTAGCAAGGAATTATAGATTGCTCGATAAGCCACCAGGGACCAAGTGGAAGACAAGCTGAACTAGACAGGCGCCAAGCACTTTGTTCTCACACGAAGGAGCCGCAAGCACGATGTCCGCAAATATCGCTCCGTGGGAGCCTCTCAGCACTTCCAAGAAACCTGACCTTCCTAACCTCGCAGGCTCGGCACTCCTCTCTTATCTGTGGAAATCAATAAGGAGATCAGCAAGCAACAAATGCTGACAGGATCAAACATGATCAAATCTGATCAAAGAGCACAAATCATTGCGTGAATCGTCTTCAAAAACAAATACGTTGTAGCATCTGCCGAGAGATGCTTGAGCAAGTCTAGGGCTTAGGGTTTAGGGTTTCGGGTTAAGGGTGCGTGGACTCACTGTAAAACCTTTCACGGGTCTTTCTTGCTGTAGCGGTAGCAGCAGCAGTAGCAGTAGCAGTAGCAGTAGCAGTAACAGTGGCAGCGGCAGTGGCAGTAGCAGTGGCAGCAGCAGCAGCAGCAGCAGCGGTAGTAGCAGTAGTAGTAGTAGTAGTAGTAGTAGTAGTAGTAGTAGTAGTAGTAGTAGTAGTAGTAGTAGTAGTCGTCGTCGTCGTCGTCGTCGTAGTAGTAGAAGCAGAAGTAGAAATAGAAGTAGTAGTAGTAGTAGTAGTAGTAGTAGTAGTAGTAGTAGTAGTAGTAGTAGTAGTAGTAGTCGTAGTCGTAGTCGTAGTCGTAGTCGTAGTCGTAGTCGTAGTCGTAGTCGTAGTAGTAGTAGTAGTAGTAGTAGTAGTAGTAGTAGTAGTAGTAGTAGCAGTAGTAGTAGTAGCCCTGAGTCTGGGTTCCAACCAGACTGAGGGCTTAAGTTTAGGGTTGAAGGCTTGTCGTTTCTTGCGTTTTTGACAGCAGTGATCCAACATAAAACAGAAGCTGTAGAGCCACATGTAGAGCCACATGCGTTGCCAAAGCTAGCACATCAAGCCATGGTGCAGCCCATTTGCTGGCTTCAACGCGTTGCATCTGCCAACACAGGCTTGAGCGACTTTGAGTTTAAGGTTTACGGTGCGTGTGACAGCGAGTACTTATCTTTCGGGTTTAGGGTCTTAGGATTTAAAGTTTAGGGTGTGTGGGACCGAGATTTTGGGGTTTGGAGACATACGTCCCTCAATTCTAGAACTAGTTCGCGTTCAGCCAGCTCTATCACTCCTCACCTCTAAAACTCTCAACCCTAAACCCTCCACCACATCCTTAATGTCTCTAAGCCTGAAAAACTCATTCCAAACTCTACAACTCCACGCCGCCTGAATCCAAAGCCCCAACCGAAAATCTATCGGCCAGGAGCCTTGCAGCTGGTTTGGGAGGCGTCCATGGGTGCCACGCCTTGCGTGATTCAGAGGCATGAATACACGATGCTTTGGAATGTCCGGTAGCTTCTTTGTGTGTAAGCGCCAACAGGTGTTCCGGAGCCATCAAGCAACTCTCAGGAACTATTCCGAACCATGAGAACCATTTAAAGGGACCGAGCTATCGCAGGCTTCAAAGTTCGAAGGTCGGAATGGGCTCGGAGACTAATGCGACGGTTCTTCAAACCAAGAACCAAAGAAGCGCAGAGAAAACCTCCTCTGTTAAACAGACCACTAGTCACTTTAAACGACGCTTGCGACCATTCTTTGCTCGAGACTGCCTGTGCCGCTGAGCATGGTTTTATGAATGCCAAAGCTCTTGGAAACAGGATTTCTACGTTGACGTTTACTCTCCGCCACAGTAGAACTCTTGTGTCCTCGGACCAGAATCCAATGTTTGCGGCTAATCCCGGCGGCAATACACCAAAAGCCCAAAAAATATTAACCCGGCCTCGGCGCGCAGCTTCATTGCACCGTTGATGTCTTGGCGAAGATTTCTCCACTGCGCACGCACAGTGGCCCGCGGCGTAGTGATCCGCTGCGACCCAAACACTAGGGACGCCAAGAGACTTCAAAAACCCCTTTCATTAGGAAGATTCTATAAATCAGACAAAGATTCTTAAGATCATTTTTGGAATATTCATTAAGTAATGGGGCTTTAACTTCCCTGGGCGGGTTCAAGGTAGATAAGATCTCCAGAGGTTCGGGTTTATCGCCTAGACTCCCCTGAGCCCTGTACAGAAGGTTCCTCTTACATATGTATATATATATATCCTCATCAATGTCAATATCCACCATATCATTCGGCAATATTTTATCTCCAAGAAAAATTTGCCATAATCATCATATGATAAAATCCGAATCAATCGAAAATCCTCTAATGGATCTATAACATGAATCTCCGACGGAATATAAAATGAAGATTCGATATCGTTGAAAACGGTATATTGATCAATAACTTTGAATATCTGGATCATTCCCAAGACTACATGCTCCCATGCATGATCCCAACACGAAAAGCCCTACACCACTAACTCGACCTCGGCGCGCAGCTTCTTTGCACGGCGCTCATCGAGGATGGCTTCGCGAACATTTCTCCACTGCGCGTACAGACAGGTTCCTCTTACATTTATGTGTAGCCTCATCAATGTCCATCATATCATTCGGCAATATTTCATCTTCAAAAAAAATTGCCATAATCATCATATGATAAAATCCAAACCTAAATCGAAAATCATCTAATGGATTTATAGCACTCCAGAAGAATATAAAATGAAGATTCGATATCGTTGAAAATGGTATGTTGACCAATAACTTGAAATATCTGGATCATTCCCAAGACTACATGCTCCCATCCATGATCCCAACGCATTTTCTACTACAATCCGAACACCCTTTTTGATTGGAATGAGGCATCGCAGGCACCTATGCAAGACTGCCCACAACAATAGCCCCTTGGCATAAGAACAAGTACAAATGTGATCCTAATGCTGGCACGCGTGCCAGCCGCCGTTCCTGACGCAGGAGCCAGTGAAGGGTTGCTGCTGCAATGCAATTATGGGCTGGGAACATCCACAACGCCAGCGCAGCCACGTGAGGCATGCTCAGAGCCACGCCATATCCCGGCCCCCACCACACGTAGCAAGGAATTAGATTGCTCGAGAAGCCACCAGGGACCAAATGGAAGACAAGCTGAACCAGAAAGGCGCCAAGCCTCTTTGTTCTCACACGGAGGACGCAAGCACGATGTCAAATATCGCTCCACGGGAGCCTCTCAGTACTTCCAATAAACCTTACTAACCTCGCAGGCTCGGCACTTCTTTTCTTATCTGTGGAAAGGTGGCGCATATCTCATGACTGGCGCCGTCCAGTTCTTGCTACATGAGACCCCGAACTTCGGGCGTGCATGTAACCAGGTGTACGACGTGCGCACCCCCACCTAAATGGCCTAAGGCGAGACTGGAGCGCACATGCTCACTGAAAGGACGACCAGTCCAACCGAACCAGCGCTTACAACCACACACATACACCTGTGGGCTACCAGCCACAAGGGCAAAAGAACTTTCGGCTCCGTGGAGCAAGCGACTTAGCTGTAGCTTCGAGCCGACGCTGCACGCGCGAAGCGTGTATCCTTACCCCAATCAACTTGGACGGGCGAACGGGACATGGCCGTGGGCGCCGCGGATGCTCACCGACATTGAAACAACCTAGCGTTGACGCATTGTTTAGAGACTGCTGCTCTGTACCTTCTGGAGTAACACACTCTGTATTCTCCAAGCCGCCTTCTGTCATGACACAGAAACCAGCCTTTTCTGACGCGCCAGACGCACGAAGGTTCTGCGCAATCTTGCTAGTAGGGGATAGGATTAGGGGGACCCTTGACCCGTGGGGACATCGACCCTTGCACCTTCACAGGGCCCCCCTTCTCCTACCTGAGACTAGGTCATCGTTCAGACGAAGCTGCTGGGCGTCGCTTTGCGACACCTTGGCGCAGAACGCCACGAGCGCGTAGTAGGTTAAATGCTGTCCGCTTCTTCTGCACACCGAAGTTCTTTCGACCTGGCGGCGGCTGTTTGCCGATCATCCTTCTCTTAAGTACGCCGGGTCGCTTCAGAACGAGCTTTCGTCGCTCAGCCGCATGCTGCTTCCGCAGCTTGTTCAATGGAAGCTCTTGCGACTTCTGCTGCGTTTGCTTTCGCCAAGCAGACGCGGTCCAAAGTGACTGGCCAAGCCTGCGGGCCAGAACTTGTCCTGGCGTCATTTGCCGAGAAGTTGGCCGATACAACGCAGTGTTGTGTTCCAGAAGCTTGCGTACCAAAAACACCTGACACTTCAATTTGAGAGATGACTGGTGCAGTGATTGAATCTGCCGAAACCAGGCACGGATCTCAGCATGCAAAGCCTCGTTCGATGTCGTGCCGGATGAAAGAAGGCTGAGCGTGGATCTACTTTGAGAGGCTCTGAAACGGAGGTTGTTGAAGAGCCACTCCAATCTTTCCGGCTCGGCCGCGTACGCCAGGTGCTCGACAATACGCGTGCCCTTTTTTTCACCTTTCCTGTTGACTTCGTCCCAGAAAAGCGCAGTAATCGCAGCTAATGCTTCCATAAACTCAGCTCGGGTGGGCCACACCGCCTTGCTTTCGGCTTGCTTCAAGACGCAGGTAGCTCTTTCCGCAGGCATGGATCCATTAAGGATTTGCTTCTTCATGTGTTCTTCTCGAGCGGAAAGTTGTCTGCAAGACTGACCAGTGAATAGCGGTCCCCAGTGCTGTGCGTCGAAGTTCGCATCAGCAGCATTGAACTTGCTGAGGCACGCACGCAATTGCCTGGATCCCCGAGTACGGTGGCGGCCCGTGCCGTACTCGTATTTGATTGCAAGATGAACGGGATCCAAACAGAGAGCTTCCAAGCCAGGCATCATCGACTTCAACACGGTATACAAGTGCGACGATGGTGCATCAGTAGCAACGCTCTGCACTTGGGCTGCAGCCGGAGGTAGATGCGCAGCCAAAGCATGTTGCAAATTTTCTGCCTTCTCAGAAAACAAAGGCCAAAGACCGACCACTGCACCGGAGCGGCCTCTTGCCGTGACAACGGTGTGAATCCTGTCCGCAGGTTCAAGAAAGAACGGTTCCTTTCCGGCTCGGTAGTTGCCAGGCTTGGGCTGTCCGAGCAAAGGCATCGTGCACTTGACTGTCCCGTCGATGGAGAGGTACGTGAACTCTTTGTGCTCCACGCACTCCATTAGCAGGCGATTGGTTAGCCTGCAACACTGGCTGGAGTTAAAGATATCCTCCACCATCGGCCACCAAGCACTGCTATGCTGCGGCAACAGGTTGACAAGCTTGCTCCCAGCCACGGAAGCATCCAGAACCATTCTTGTCCAAACTGCCTGCACCTGCTGGACGAAGGGTTGGGAACACCACATTGCCTACCTACGAGACGCTGCTCAAACAAAGCCCACAATGAACTCATGACAGAAACACGCCTTGCCGGAGTTGAGCAGTGTCTCTTTGAAAAGTTTCTCGGCGAAGCAATGCGTGTAGTACAAGTCACCCGCTCTGCGCACGCGTCGATCTTTGATGGAGTCTGCCCGAACGAAGGACGGTCCTCGCAAACTGGCACGCAAACACTAATATATAATATCTTGGTTCTGCAAGGACACAGAGAAGCGCCTCCTACGGCCCTACGTGGTTGACAACTGGAAGTCGTCCTGTCGCAGCCAAGACGACCCTCAACTTGCGGTCGATATGGTTTTGAGTGTGCGATAGGCCAGGCTTCACCTGCCTTGCGGGCTGGAGCTGGGACGCGCAAAAGTGACATCTGCTGTGCGGGGCGACCGCGTTAGTTGAAGTTAGGAGGAAGAACACTATAATTACCTCTTAAGACCAGCCACTCCCTCAGCAGCGAAGCGCTGCGTTGAACATAGGCACCATCTCGGACACCAGATATCATGTCTGCGTCGTGCAAGGCCAAGATTACTCGAACTTGCTTGGTACCAGAACAGCAGTACTGCCGCTGACTGGCGTGATGATCTCGAACATGTTGCAGCACGCGTGACTCACACCTGAAACAGCGCCATGGACAGAAAGGACATCGGAGCCCTTGCTTTGTCCTAACCAAGCAATGCGAACTTCCGCTGGCTAGGAACTCCTCTATCTCTGCCTTCATGTCATCGAGAAGCTGCTTATCGGTAAGAACCTGCGCAGCTTCATCCAACCAATGTTTTTGCAGAGACTTTCCATCGTCAGAGCTCTCAGAGCTCACTTCTATCAGCGCAGAGACATCATCCGACGACACACACGCTACGACGTCATCCTGCTCGATTGCTGGCCTCCCTTCTTTCAAGGTATTGTCGGCTAGTCGCCCAGCTCTGGCTTCAAGATCCAACAGCTTGTCTAGAGCTTCCGAGCTCCAGAGATCAGATGTTTGAACAGTATCTGAACTCTTGCATATCTTGAAAACCATTGCAGAGCACGCGTCCAGTCCAGCGGTCAATGCCTCCTCTAAGATAGAAGAGTCTATCCGGGACTCGCCGCACGCGTCAATCACGTCTATAGACTCCACGCTGTTGACACGCAAGCCGACGCAATGAGGTTGTCCTTCGTGTTCCACATGCAGCAATATGATCGCAGAGCACGCTTCTTGAAGCTGGCATTTTCTCTGCAACCGTTGTCTGACAGCGCCTCTTCCACGTCTGAGATTTTCGCCAGAAGGAGAGCCACAGCTGCAGGGATGCAGTTGCCATTTTGCCGCAGCACAGATTCCATTGGCAACGAAGAACCGACTTTTGACCTTGCTGTGTCGGATAGGATTTGCAGAACGCTGCGATGACGCTTCTCTCGAAGCACAACCTCAAATCCAGTTGCATCCTTCACACGTCGCTGGATGCTCTTGCAAAGATCTTCGACGCTTTTGCCTTCAGGCCGCGAAACACGAACACCGTCGTAGTGAAGAGATAGATGCTTTGGCGAACCTTGCAAGAGGACGTCTGCCATGGCCGAAAGGACCACATCTTCTACTATGTAGTAGAGATGCGAAAGCAGTGAAGCCTCTGGGTTATTCTTTTCCGCGTCCGGCTCCTGAAAGCGAGCGTACTCGTCTGGGAACATCAAGACAACAGCCCAGCGCAAATACAGCGCCGCTTTCGAGAGGCTTTGGAGGAAAGCTTTTCCATGTTGCACAGAGTCCGGAATTGAGGCGCCATTGAAGATTTTGATAAGCAATGCCTTTCCCTCTTCCTGCAGGGTCAGTCGATAATTGCAGCAGCATGCTAGATTGCCAGAGGACGATCTAGGAGTTACTGTAACTCGAAAGCAAGAAACGGCTGCCTGCGCTACACGACAAATATCTCCCAAACTTGTAAACTCCCAACCTTGGAAAGCTGCAGAGTTTCTTTACACACGCGATCACGGTCTTGAGCGCACGCGCGAATGGTCTCTGTCACATCGTTGGGCGGAGCTGGCCGGAGCTGAAGCCTTGTAATGAGCTGGTGCATCAGTGTGAAAAGAGCATTCTCGACGTCCAGATCCACAGTTCCGGCAGCTACACGAACTTGCGCACGCCTGCATAGACGCTGCACACCAAGGCCGACCACTTGTTTCCGGGATCTGAATGACACAGCTGAAGAATACGAATAAGAGCGCTGAACATGGACGATCTCTTGAACACATGGCTTCGCCTCCCTCCCTTCTTCTTTCACTTCGGGCAAGCATCGGCGTCTCTTGGCGGGCTCTGATTGCATGCGTTGGCTGCTTTGGCTCTGTCCGACATCGTCGGCCAGGTCTGCAAGGATTACCTCGAACAGTTCTTCCTGGTCCAATATCTTGCGCCCTTTTTTCTGCGCCTCAGCACTTCTGTCCAGGTTCCTCGCAAGTTGCTTTGATGGCCGGCCGCGAACAGTGGGATTCTTGGCCGCCTGGTAGAAGGCACCCAACAGGTACGCATTCTCCCGCCTAGCGTCACAGCCTCGGACATATTCTGCAAAGTTTTTCAAGTGAAGTAGCTCTGGAAATGTGGACTCTGACTCCAGGTTCTTCCAGTCCAAGACAGAACAGAGATTGAGGCATTCGACCGCTGGCCTGTAAACCTCCAGAGTCTTTCCTCGAGAAGCTGACTCGACAATGACCTTGTTGCGCAGAAGTTGGTCGACCAGCTCTTCCCTGGAGACGTTCGGCCCTGCAGGAACCTTCATGCGCAACAGCATCGGCTTTGTTACGTCGAAGCGCCGAAGACCCAGCAGATGATTGACGAGGAACGTGCGCATTGTGTCCCAGTGCCTTTGCACATCATCGTCGTCCGAGTCCTTTTCGTCCTCCTCAAGGACAATCAAAGTGTGCGCTCGGCGCGCAATTCCTCTTATGTCGCGTGGCTTCATGCCGCACGCCTCTCGCATGGTTTTCTCGGTCAAACCATGATCACCGCCCCACTGCGCGTAGTTCTCGATCATCTGTAGACAATCCTGCGACGCACATACACGTGTGACTTGCGCGCAGTCCCGAAACAAAAGTGGGACAACCCCTGCTCCAAGTCCAAGTCCTGTTGGTTGTGCTGCGTTTCGAAGGCATGCTGCAGCTGCAAGGCTGCGCATATCGCCTGAGGCGAGGTCAAGAAGTCCTTGAGCTCCTGGTCCTTGGCGAAGATGCCGTCCTTGTCAATGTCCTCATACGCGCCTGACTTATATGTTTTTGTCGCAGGCATAGGTCGCGCTATGTACTCAGTGCTCAATACCGCAATTCTTTGCCAAGGTACTGTCAATAGCCCTGGGGTCCTCGAAGCGCGCTTTGATCCGGAAGACTAGAGCACGCCTCAGAATGGCATTGAAGTCCCGGGGCGTCACGTTCAGAAACTGGAAAAGGCGGTTCGCCTCCAACCGCTTCCAGCCCTTGCATTCAATCATCCGCGTTCTGAGGCCATACGGCTTGCGGCCGGTAATGCCTGCCCACAGCCAAGAATCCAGAACACAAGCAGTAGTAAGTAGTAGGTTATAGGCGGTTCGTTTCGAAGTTTAGGCACGTCGCCCTGGACACGTTGCCTTCGCCTGACATGAACTTCTTGTAGAGATCCTCGCGGAGTCGCCGATTGGTGCCAGGTGCTTCTTGACCTGCGTGGACCATGAAACAAACCCGTCAAGACTCAGGCGCTATGAGGATAACGCTGCAATCAGCTGCAGTCCTGTAAGAACAAACCGGCCATTGAGCTGTTCGACTTGCTTGCGCATCTCTTCTTCATTAAACCAAATTTGCGGGTCGAAATAGGCAAAGTTGTGGACGTACATTGCCTGCCCCAGAACAAGCGCGGACAATCGTTGCCGTGCTGGTGTGTGCTGGTCTGCAAGCCTATGAACAAACACAGGTCGGCTCGTCTGTCCTCTAGATGCGCCGAATATAAGGACTGACCAACGCCGCCGGATGAAAGTCCTATGAAGAGCCGCACGACGTTGATGCCTCTCTTCGCCAGGGCCTGATCGCAAAAAGAAGCCGCCGCAACTTGCTTTCCTGCTAGACAGCTACGAACGTTCTAAGCTCAATGCCATCCAGTAGCCTGTGCAGCTTGGCAGCACTTGAAAACCTCGACGTTGCTCCAGAAAGTTTGTCGATAGAACTTTGTGAGGCGTGTCATGACATGGTCTGGCACGAACTTTTTGATGCTGTGCGGAATGTGCGTGTAAATGTCCCTGATGCTTGATCGCTCCACCTCTGCAAGGCCGCTGGTTGCGATTGCGCTTTTAGCACACCAGAGCTACTGCCAAACAAAACAAGAACAATTTCCTTTGCGCCGGCCTGCCGAGCTGATCCATTGCTGGGATACTCGACACAGTAGTCGTTGTAGCAGCAGCCTGGAACATGACTCATGGGTCGTTCACAAAACTCGACCATGTACGAAATTAGCTTCTCGTCCGAGAGGTCTCGAATGATGTTGCGCTTGAGTGCAATGATCATGCGAGCGCAATAGATGTGCCAGTGGTTGGCTGGGACTTCTCCGGCGGGTACCTCGTCTTGCTCATCGGCCTGTTGGCTTGCCCTTCTGCTTTTTAGCAGCGCGTCACCCTGGTTGTTGGCTGCGGCGATGCGGCATCTTTCAAGTAACGCTTGTTCGCAATCGGAGCCTTCCAGCAGCAGTGACACTGCTTGAAGAACTTCCTGCTCTACACGGCGAGTGCCTTGCGGCAGTATCCGAAAAAGTCCTCGCAGGCTTTCTAAGCATCGTGCACACGAGAAAAGCCAACTGTCTTCCGTGGCAGGAACAACCCTGCAAACAAGAGCTACGTGGACAGTCCTTCTAGATGCAGAAGAAACCTATGAACTCGGCTGCAGTCAAGAGGAAGACCTTTGTAGTGTTGGAAAGCCCCGCTTGCATGTAGGACGTAGCAGTCCCCATGGTGGAACCGCATATACTTCTCACCCTCGATGATGAACAGCATCATGGCATTCTCGCGCTGAAACACATCAACGGTCCGTAAGCTCAGAACTGCAACTGCAGCTGTCATAAGGTTCGTCATGTACTCAGACAGATCCGGAAAGTCTGTTGAAATCTGGAACTTGTGCTTCTGAACTATTTGAGGAATGCTGTTTGACTGGTCAGCCTGATCGGCGGGATCGTTCTGAAACGCAACTCGGGATGCTTCTAAGCCAGCAAACAAACTGTCAAAGTCCTGGTCCGACGTCGCAGCACCACCAGGCAACAGACGCCGTTTTTTCAGAACTTCCCAAACCTTGTCGTCCGCGTCCTCTGGTCCTTCAAGGACGATGTTTGCAGCAGCTGCTTCGATTCGCTCTTCCTTGATATCTGCTAAAGCCATGTCTGTCCCTGCCATTTCTTCTTGCAGTTCTTGATCGACGCGGGCAGCAAAACTGTCTTGTGACGCTGCCACATTTGCAGCAGGAGATGCGCCACCTGCATAGTCGTGCAGCCGAGAGCTGTCAGCAGACAGAGAGCCCTTGTCCGCAGGGTGCAACCCTTGCGCGGGTGTGGGATGTACTGAGTACGCGCTCCGCTCTTTCCGACACCGTGCGATCGCCACATGTACCCGCAAGGCACAGTGGCAGGCATCAGTTCTCCATGCGACTATGTTATCCTTGGCATCGTTTGGATGAGGTAGATTTTGCATAAATGAAGACTGACTTGCTGGCAAGCTTGCAGCAGCGATTGCATGCGTGTACATGAAGAGAACCAAGTCTTGCTGTTGATCCAGTAAGCCCAAGAAAGTTCTTGCTCTGTACATCAGGACTTCCCACGCGCGTTTGGACATGGTTCCTCGCTCAGCAGGATGTGGTAAGAAATGAACAGCCATGGGGTGTTGCCGCAGACAAGCAGAACGTTCCCGCATGATGTCGCAAATAACAGCCATGGACTTGCTTCGACCGTCAGATGATTCTGTAGCTTCCAATGTGTAGCTTGTGTCGAGGGGGCCCGATCTCTCGATTGACTGCCATATGCTGCAGGCCGTTTGATACGCGCAGGTGATGGTGTAGACATCAGACTGCTGCACCAAACTGCCGCCGAGATAGTCATCAAGCTGCGTGGGGCAGTTAGAAAATGGTACTATCTCGACGTGTGATCGGCACAACCGTGTGCCAGCAAGGATACAAACAGTCCATCGAGACTGCACGAGGGCGTGCGTTCGTTCGCAGATAGAACGCTTGACTTCTGCTTGTTCTGAGCACGGGTAGCCTGACAGATTGCAGTCTGCAGCCGCGCAGGAGCACATCAACGAGTCAGAGCGCGGACACGAACCTCCT